ACATTTGGATATTATCATTTAACCAATAATTAATCCATCCTTCTAGAAAGCTTCATTTGCTAAAAGAAGGAAAATGCAAGGGTCAGCTAAGCATTTATCATCAAATCTGAAATGTGAGTGTTTATGTCCCAGCATTAACGGGGCCTATAAAAATGCTGACTTTTGATCAGGTGTGGTGGCTCACACCTGTAATCCCAGCACTTTGGGAGGCTGAGGCAGGTGGATCATTTGAGGTCAGGAGTTCAAGACCAGCCTGACCAACAAGGTGAAACCCCGTCTCTACTAAAAATACAAAAAAATCAGCTGGGCTTGGTGGTGCATCCCTGCAATCCCAGCTACTCAGAAGGCTGAGGTGGGAGAATCACTTGAACCTGGGAAATGGAGGTTGCAGTGAGTGGAGATCACGCCAGCAGTGAGCTGAGATCACACCACTGCACTCCAGCCTGGGCGACAGAGCTAGACTCCTTCTCAAAAAAGCAAAACAAAACAAAATGCTGACTTTCAAATTATATACTATATTCAACAGAAAGAAAATAGTTTTTTTCTGTTGTCTTCCCTTTCACTTTTAGAGAAAAGCATTTATTAACAAACAATAAGAAAAAGTAAAAATATTAAATGGAACAAGGACACCTGAGCTTAAATGCTATTCTTAACTTGAAGTAAAAAGTAAGGAAAAAGATTACTTGTTCATGCAATATTCTAATAATGATCATCAGTTTGAGACACTCCAAAAAAAACTTCAAATTTTTATAATACGTAGATTAAGCCATACAAAAAAAAAACCCCAGATTTTTAAAACTGGCTTCACATACATAAAGCAAAATTCTTTCTAAAACTTACTAGAAAATCTCTGTTGCACAATGGATAGCACATTAGACTTCTAAAACTTATTGGAAAGTAACATTTTATTATATAAAGACACTCACAAAATAAGTACATAAATCTTTACAGTCAAAATAGGCACTAATTCTGTATTCAACATCTTACATTCCTATTCCTTTCACTTTTTTCAAAAGAATTTCCCATTTATTACCTACCTTGAGCTTCATAATATTATAGAGGTAAGATTATCTTTATCCCATTTCAAAGATACAAAAGCTAAGACATTTTCTTTTACTCCTTAATGTAAACGATTAATCATAAGACATAATTTACTAAGAAATGTCAGAAATAATTTGTGATTAAATGATCACTTATTGTTAGGTAAAACTTCAAGATCTGTATCACTGGACTAGACCAATATGCAGCCAAGTATTATGAGTGTGGACTGTCGATCCAGACTTTCTAGGTCTGCATTCCAGCTCTGCCAAGCACTATTTATTTAACTTTGAGCTCACTGTTTAACCTCTCTGCCTTACTTTCCTAATCTGTAGAAAAATAGGAATAATAATAGTACCTACCTCATAGGGTAGCTGTGTGAAAGAATTATTTATGATACCTACCCTATACAGCACTTACCTCATACAGTTGTTATAAGGATTAAATGGGTTAGTATGAATTAAGAGCTCAGCACAGTGACAAGTACAGGTGGCACTCAGCCAATGTTGTTGTTGTTTTCTGTTTATCTCCACAATTTGTGGGTTCTATGAATGTGGGCGAAGCATCTTTGAGCTTCAGTTTCCACATCTTTAAAATGAGGATAATAATACTACTGTGCACTAGGGTCATGGGAAGGACTGAACGCAATGCTGCACATAAAAGCTTTTAATAGAGTGTCTTATGCAATAAAAGTATTCAATAAATAGTTTTAAAACATATTATTCAGTATTAATAAAATTGTTTGCATTAAAGCATTCAATATTAATTTTTAGATAAAGAATGATTACAAAAATTAATGTTCACACAAACACAAGCATGTCCAAACAAGATTCTTCTTACACATAACATTTATTTTCAATTACTCTAGTGTTTTCAGGTACTATCAAGCCTGCAAGCTTCCATTCCTCTTACTGACACTGAATATGTGTATTTCTTTCAAAGAATTAGGAGAGAAAAACGTAACAACCAGCATTCATTGCATATTTACAATATGCCAGGTACTTTTCTAAGTGATTTACATATGTTAACATATTCAATTCTCATATTCAATGTTAACATATTCAATCCTATCCTACCCAACAGGATAGCTTCTATTATATCTCTATTTTATATTTGAGCAAACTTGAAACAAAGAGCTCTATTTAGGGTTTGCTGTTTTTGAAACAGATACCAATTGGAATCTTCTATAAAAGACAGCATATACTCAGTCAATAGACATAAACTTCTTAAACAAAACAATTTTTGCCAAAACCTTGGAGAGTATATTATGTCTTGCTCATATTGTATTCTATTATTAATAACAGTGTCTAACACAAAAGCCACTAGCTACACGAGACTACTGGGCATTTGAAATCTGGCTAGCATAAATTGAGAAGTACCGTAAGTGTAAAACACACTTCAGATTTTGAACTTAATATAAAAAATATCCCATTAATAAATTATGTATTGGTTACATATTAAAATAATATTTGGATATACTGGGTAAAATAATGCATATTATTAAAATACATTCTGCCTATTTCTTTTTACTTTTTTAAAATGAGGCTTCTAGAAAATTTCAAATCACAAATGTGACCAATGCTATGTATTTATTAGATGGCTGGTTTGGACTTGGGGGTAAGAGAGAATAGTAACAGAGAATTATTATCAAAGTTATTGTTTCTAATCAGTATAAGCTTAAGTCCTTCAAAGCACAAGTACAGAATGGAAGATATCTCTCTGTCTCTCTAGCGTGTGCATGTGTGTATAATACTGCATATATACACATGTGGCTCAAGGGACCAGAGAAACATGCTATGCTACTACTTCACTATACTCAACATACAAGAGTGAAGGATAGAAAATCTAAGGGGAAATACCTACAGGAAAAAAACATTTATTTTTAAACTGAAATCATAAAAGTTCCTAGAGTCCAAAAAGACCTAACCACTTAGTTTCAGGGGCATAACAAACACTAAGTGTATATGTTAAGTAAAATTTAAATTTCCTAATGGCCTAACTGGCAGACTATTAAAATACCTGATGTTTGATATCTGGTATCTTCTAGAAAATAATCCAGTTTGTGGATACCTGTCACATTGTTTTGATCAATTTTATACATCAAATGTAGGCCTTTAACTGATTCTTCTAAACGAATGCTGGCCCACTATATAGAAGAAAATTACTCCATAAAGTTTACATCAGATATCTGGAAAAGTCACATTTATAGTCATGGCTACTATCAGCTGTCAAGCCAAAGAATATTGAAGAAAACCAAGAAATTTTAATATATGCTGCTTAATTTATCATCGAAGTGACATATGTAGGATAAAAACATTGAAATGGTTAAGGAAAATTCTACATTGTAAAAGGTCCTTTTTTCTGGTTTTATTTTTAATTGCAACTATGATTTGAGAAACCATAAGAAAGCAAATTAATAGAAATCATAAAAATAGAATTAACAAATAAAATACACACTAAGATTTATTTTTTCCTCCCTTCTCTGGATTATTTAAAACGTTAATTTTTTTAAATGGTAATATAATGGTATTTTGGTTTGTACTGAAAACTGGCTAACTCATCTATTCCAGGGTTTGTCAACCTTGACAAATCTATTTACATTTGGGGCTGGATAATTCTTTGTTGTGCAGGGACTACTCTGTACATTTTAGGATTTTAGCAGCACCTCTGGCATCTAACCAATAGATGAGAATAGCACTCTACCCTTCAACAGTTTTGACAAGCAAAAACACTTAAATATTGTCAAATGTCACAGGATGGCAGTAGGGGGAGTACTAAAGAGCTGCCCAGTTGAAAAACACTGTATATTCCTACCCAAAATACCTTTCTATTTGATGAAAATTATTTCAGCACTTCCTAAACTACTATTATGTAGTTTCAGGGGCTCTTCCTAGGGGATCCAGATAGCTTCAGCAGGAAACCTACTGAAACCACATGCAGAATAGCCTGGGTATATTTTCTGGAAAAATGTTCTACAGCTTTTGTCAGATCCTGAAAGGGTTATCCCCAAAATAGCAATTTTAAAAGGGTTAAGAATCAGTGCTTCAACTAAAATATTCACAGTGCCTTGAAACTATCTTTCCAAAGATATAAAGATTGAAAATATTATTTTATACACAGCAAATCATTTACTTTTACATTTGTTATCAAGGCATGACTACTTTCACCACACTTATAAACTATTCATACAACAGACATTTAGTGGATACAGTCTACATGCTCAGTCCTATGTTAAACTACACAAGCTAAGCAAATAGCAGCTAAATATGCAAAATGATTGGATAACTATAATTCCATAACCTACATCATAAACATTGTTTTTTAAGGAAAACATCTGCAAGTATCCTATTTTTCCTATAATGCAGCTTAAAGTTTATAGGGGCACTAATTTTTTTTGGATTATACAAATGGTATATACAACTTGAAGAACTATTACATTTCATAAATGGTTTTGGGAATAATAAACACTCATGTAATCAATAAATATATCAGGAGTGGCTAGAGAACCAGAACACTGCTACAAGATTACCAAACAGATTAAAGTTAGAGGCCAATGAGTGCAATGAGCAAAACAATGCTTAAAAATATGTGATAAATAAATCTTAAAAAATTAGGAAATAATTGTGAGTCCACAAATGAACATATTACCCCAAATAATCAACACCATCATATCCAGCCAAAAGCAAACCAACTGCTGAGACACAGAATGTGCCTACCACATCAAAGTGATTTCTAAAAAAAAAAAAATTTGTTTATTTTATATACTGACAATTAACTGAATATTACATAATAAAATTATTCTTCACAAACAAGCAATGTTATATAGATAATGGTAAATCATACAGGAAAAAATCTAAACATATAGTATCAGACTTTTTGGAAGGGGAAAAATATAATTGCAATGAAAAATGATGCAAATCACGTAGGGGGTGAAAACCATATTATATTATTTACATATTTACCTGCACTGCAAGAGAAGCTGCATTGTCAGAAAGTAAAATTTGCTCCCCTGTGGAAATACAATGAAGCATAACTTAACCAAATAGAATATAATATTTTTATTTTTAAAAAGTATTTATATTTTTTCAAAGGTATTGCCTACCACTAAATTCAAAAGTTTTATATCAATGTTATTATATAATTATAATTTTGATTAAATTATCACAAATAATGATAAACTAGGACAGTTCCCTCTAAAATTATTTGATCACTTATCTCTTTTTATCAGCAATGTAATTAAAATTGTTCACTTAAAATCAAACTCATTTTTCGTTTTCAAGAAATGTTTCTCTTCATTAAAATTAAGTAAAATCTGCTGAAACCTTTCTAGTTAAAAGTAAAAGCACTCACAATAATATAAAACCAGCTTGCAGTTAATATTGCACAGTGTATCTAGGTCTGTCACACAAAAGAAAGATGACAAGTTTGCTGCAATAAAAATTCCATGCTTAGAAGACTAGGGCTGCTGCCTATTAGTCTTCATTACTTTGCAGTCTTCTGACAACTGTAGCAGGCTGCTAAGCCCCAAATGGGGTCCATAATGTGATCTGATGATATATGAAGAGCTGCTAAAGGGAGCCTGAACCATCCTAGCCTATACATTTTAACAGTTCCTTTTTACTGAGAGCCCACTTTACCACAGGACTTCAAAAATCTGCTGTCTCAGCTATTGGTGCAGTAAATCTGCCAACTTCTCCTGCAACCACATCATTTTACACCGCCTACAGCAGCCAATATAACAAGTCAATAATAAACTAAGGACCTTATAGGCCATGAATAGTTGGTTTACACTGGCAGATACAAGTTTAGGTAAAACCTCCTAGACAAATTATACAAGGGAATCCCTTCTTTTACATGTTATATTCTCTTTGCAGTAAATTGTATTACTGAGGATTTTTTTGTAATACACACAGCTTGATACAAAGCCATTTTTAATTGTGAACAAGAATTTACCTTTCAATTGCTGATATAACGTAGCATTTTCAGGCCAAGGTTCTGCAGCTATGGAAACAAGGCAGTGATAATTAGGCACATAGAGCAAAAACGTATCAATAACAAACCAAATTAATAATCATGTACATTTGCCTAGAGCATTTAAAGTCAATTGCTAAGGTTGACATATACACGGCAACTAATCACACTATCTTAGATTCTATGGTAACCAGTATAAGTAGGTCAGAAAACTTGTTTTAAAAGCATGTTTGGTTTATCGTTTCCTGATTTTTTTTTTAGTGGGGAGGAGGGGAAGATACCTTGCCCAATCCAAAATGAGAATTAAAAAAACAAAATAGCCCATATGCTACAATTCCGTTAGCTTCTTTCAAACACAGACATATTCTAAATATTACTCATATGTATAAAAAGATACTGATGTCTAATTTACTACAAAAAAATGTAGTGAAATAATATTTTTAATATTTTACAGTAAACTTTTAACAAAGTAAACTTTCAAGCGGACATTATATGAAAGAATCAAATATATCTGTATCAAACTGTCCATCTTTCCCCACAATCTGGCAGTATTTAAAAATACAGAGGAATCCTGTTGTATTCCAGAAGATTTCATTGCCTTGACCCTACCAACACCACCCCACAAACACAATTAGAGCAAAGTTGCGTGATGAAGCATTACGTAACTACAATGTGAAATAATGCCAGTAAAGATAATTTTAGGCCTGAAATGAAACTTGACTTGACCCTTAATCTCTCATCTAGAGAAGACTGCAGCTACAAAGAGAATATTACCAATCTCCCAGTGTTTGGGAAAAGCACTAGATTTGAACTTTGTCTAATCAACTGCACTTAAGAAGCAATGGCTCCACTGACAGAATACATAGGATATCAGGATATCACTTGTTGGATTCTTCTTTGTAAAAGTCACAAAACATCAGAATCACCCATTTTAATAACGTAACTACATTTGCTCTCAGCAACTAAATATATGAGATTTGATAATAATTGTTATATTTCTAATTGTGTTTATACTAATTTAGTCTCTGTGACATAGCAACAAATAACTTTAATAATAATTCTGGCTGATTTTTAAAAATAAATTTATACATGTGAAGCATTTTTTTTTTAAAGACTGATCATTTAAAATGTTCTAAAGCAATCCCTGGAATGGGAAAAAGGAACTCCTTAATTTGCTTTTACTTATACTTTAGAATAAAAAGAAAAACACAGTATTATTACAATAAATAACAAATGTGACTTTTAGGTTTAGTTTGGTTTGGGCTACACAAAATTAAACTCATATTTAGAGATAATGCCATGAAAACATCAAGTAAATAATGAACTACACATAATTTTGTATGCTGTTACCCACAATATTACACATATATATAAGGGCTACTGAATTTCAACGCATATACCAACACAGCAATGAAACAAAATACTTTGCTGTCACAACTTTAACAAAGTAAAATTTCATTAAGAACCAATTAACTTGTATAACAGTTTTTAAAATAAAAGGAAACAAAAACAAGCTGACATCAGCAAATTACTCAAAAAAATAACCTTTTCGGATAAATTGTATAGTCAGCACACCTATATTGCTTACATCTATACTAAAAACAATACAATGAGATTCGTTTGTTATAAAATTCTAAATCATCAAAGATTCAATCATATGCATTATATTAATCTTACTAGCAATAAAGCATAGGAATAAAATTCACAACATTTCGAAGAGTAAATATTGAAATCAAGTTCCTTGGAGACACAGATGTGTCATATGCATCTGTGAACCATACACTGTACTATGCTTTGCATACAGTTGATGTTAATTGTCTGTAAAAAGAAAGAAGATATCTGATTAAACCTACCATTTAATTCCCTAAACATGCTGGCTAAATAAAGTTTTACTCAACTTAATATTACCATCTATGTTAAGGTAACAGGACATTCTAATTTAAAATTGTGGTAATTTTAACTCTTGGTTAGCTATTTTGTGCACATACTAGGCATGCATTACAAATTTTTAAAACAATGAAGTATTAGGTTGCTGCAAAAGTAATGCAGTTTTTGCCCAGAAACTGTATTAAACCTGTATTACTGTGTTAAAATTGGTGATTCTGATATTTTATGGCTTTTACAAAGAAGAATCCAACATATGATATGCCAAAAACTGCAATTATTTTTGCAACAACCTTTACATACACTAGTATTAAACATATGCTGAATATAATCTAAGTATTCTCTGATAAATCAGAAGCTACTTCACTACTCTGTAACATAACAGAGTTCTTATATGAACAGCAATTTATGTGGTCAGTAATTTCAGTTAAAAGTTAACTCATCAGCCGGGTGTGGTGGCTCATGCCTGTAATCTCAACACTTTGGGAGGCCAAGGCGGGTGGATCACAAGCTTAGGAGTTCAAGACCAGCCTGGCCAAGATGGCCATCTCCACTAAAAATACAAAAATTAGCCAGGAGTGGTGGCTGGCGCCTGTAATCCCAGCTACTCAGGGGGCTGAGGAAGAGAACTGCCTGAACCCCAGAGGCAGAGGTTGCAGTGAGCCAAGATCGCACCACTGCACTCCAGCCTGGGCAACAGAGTGAGACTGTGTCTCAAAAAAAAAAAAAAAAAAAAGTTAATTCATCATCACCCCCATGGATTCTCCAGATCTCATCCAAAAGACAAACATGAAAGTAACAGAAAGTTTGCAACATACTACTTCACTGCAAATAAGATCAAAGAAGCTGCCTACAAATACCAAAAGCTCTGTTATTAAGACTCTAAAGCTGGAAATAGGTGAAAAGGGTGAATATTTTACTCAATCTAAGACATAAACTCTGTTTCAACTCAGAAATCATTATTGAAAATAAATTCTCAGAAGGTAACTCTACCAAAACATCCAGTGTTTTCATCACAAATAGAATTTATGACTTAAAAAGAGAAGGCAAATAGACTGATATAAACCCATATAGCCAGCAGCCAGGAATTGCAATTTATCATGCAGTAGACAGGAAATGGTAGAGTATACAAAGAATGACCAGGTGCCTATCTTACCCATGAGCAGCTCAGAGAATATAAATATCACTGACTTAAGTGCATCACCTTACATGATTCTGTTAGGCTGTTGGTATTGTTGTAAAGAAATATCTGAGGTTGGGTAATTTATAAAGAAAAGAAGTTTGTTTTGGCTCATAGTTCTGCAGACTGTACAAGAAGCACAGTGCCAGCATCTGCTTCTGGTGAGAGCTGCAGGAAGCTTACATGGACAGAAGGCAAAGGGGGAGCAGGTGTCACACATAGCAAGAGCAGGAGCAAGAGAAGGCGGGGAGATGCCACTCTCTTTTAAACAACCAGATCTCGTGTGAACTCAAAGAGAGAACTCACTATCAAGGATAGCACTGAGCCATTCATGAGGGATCCACCCCCATGATCCAAACACCTCCACCAGGACCCACCTCCAACAATGGGGATTAAATCTCAACAGGAGATTTGCAGGGAACAAACATCCAAACCGTATCAGTGACAGAGCTCATATAATTACATGTAAAGCATGACACGAGAGAAAAAAAAATCTCTAGTTTGTTATTCCCTAAGAGTGCCAAAAGTGAAAATCCTAAACTGGGCAATGGATCTACAAATCAATCACACAGGTATCATTCTAGGAAATGAGCTCTATAACTGTCTTCATATGTAAACCTATGAATCATGAAAATTATTATCCACACCTAACAGAAAGCAAGCTTATGTGTTGGTTTGGGAATACCTATTATGCAAAAGACAAAGTCCAAAAAGACAACTTCTTCCCTACGCTTCTCTTTCCCAAGGTCAGACAAAGTCAGTAATCACCCCTTGTTCCTCAGCATGTGTAAAAGAGAGATTAAGGATTTAAAATCATGGCGCTGACAATATACATCTTAAAAATCTGTGGCATTTTAAAAGAAAAATCATTTTAAAACAATAATAAAACATTTTTATATTTTACTAGTTTTTCTTCAGTTGACCTGAAACGCTTTAGACCACAAACTACAATAGTAAATAAAATGTCATGACTCGCCTACTCTACCTATTTTCAGTTTCTAACACCAAAAGCACCTCTGGTGTGAAGTGCCATTTTAAACACACCTAAATGAAGGGACAGCCTTAGAAAAAACATAGAAGGTGAGACAAAGTTTCTAAAAAGGGGGTTGGCAAGAAATGGAGGCTGAGGAAGAAAGTTGTCCAATGCAGTCAAAGTGCAAGTTACTTGTTTTCTTACCACATCAAAAGTAAATCTTACGTTTAAGACACATCAATAGTTACATGTGGTTCTTGGAATAAAGACCAAAATCCTCAACATGGCCTACAGGGCTCTACTTGGTCTCTGAAGTTACCCTCTCTACCAGCCTACCTCATCACACACACATTCCCCACCTTGACTCTGCACTCCAGCCACACTGGCCTTCATCCAGTTTCTGAATGCACCACTTTCCCCCCTGCAGTTTCTTCTGCCTGGAACAATTTTATCCTCCTATGATACTGGCACATCTCAGCTCGAAAATCACTTCCTCAGGTACAGCCAGGTTCATGAGCGTATAGCCCGTGCAGTTGCATAGGGCCTGCAGTTGGAAGGGCCCCCTGCTTGGTTTAATGTTCTGCTGTCTCAGTCTTGAAAGTGAGTAATTTTTGAACATTTTCATTTTGCACTAAGCCTAAAAATTATGTAGCCAGTCCTATCCTCAGGGAAGTCTTCGCTGACCTCCTTTAATAGTTCAAACACTCCTTTTACAAGCTCTTATAGCATGCACTCCCGTCTGTATTTTTACATTTAAGTAGTTGATTGTTTACCTTCTCCATGAGAAAATACGCACCATGAATCCACCATTCACGTCTGATTTTTGCTTACCACTTCATCCCTAGAACCTAGCACATAGCAGGTTATCAGTAAATGCCGGCTGAATAAACATTTGTTTTCATTATTAGCAGTATCATCATTGTTGTTATTACTCTGTACTATGCAGGCTAAGAATGTAGCAGGGAAGATAACAAAAATTCATGGCAAAACATA